TGTTTACTACTTCCCCAATAAGGCCAAAATCCTTAGCAACCTTTAACTTTGTTTGCTTACCTCTTAGGAACACTGGCTGGCAGTAGCCCAAATGTCTATCAATAGTAGAATGGATATTAATATTAATAAATTGTGGTACATTCCTATGCTTGAAAACTATAAGGAATGAAAATGAATCTTTCAAACATTATCCTTCAACATCAAGTGAAAGAAGCTAGATGCCAGAGTACATATTGTGTGATTCCTTTTATATAAATTTCAAAAATGAACAAAACCAATTATGGTGTTAGAATTCAGGGCTATTTAGATTTGGTAGGAAGTATTAATTTTTAGGGGTCTTGTGGATGCTTACAGGATGGTGGTAATAATCTATTTATTGATCTGGATATTGGTTACACTGCTATCATTTTGTGAAAATTCATTAAGTTGCATATTTATCATTTGTATACTTTGTTCTATCTTGATTAAAAGTTTAAAAATTAATTCCTCAGTAGTTTGAAAATTTTAAGAGTTAATTTTTTTAAATGGTGACATTTACTCTTTTCAATTCTTGTGTGTGTACAGGAACAGAATACTGTTTCCATGGGAACTTCTGGCTACCCTGTGTTTCAGTGCCTAACTTCCTGTAGATTTGTGTGTCTACTCTGTGTCAGCTGCATTTTTTTACATAGTCGAAGAAAAAGTTTATTTGGAATTGTATTAGTGTTTTTAACAGAGCAGTCTATGTACAGCATAGGTTTTAAACTCATTAATTTATCCCAACTGGCTCCCTAATAGTGTTATGCTAAAAATTTTTTTTTTTAACTGGAAAATACTTTTTTCCTATAAGTTGTATTTCTTAAGAAAAACAATTGCTGAAGTGGAATGTGGCTTTATATTAGGGTGCTTATTTAATTCTTCTTTTCCTCCAACAAATAAAACAGTCTTGAAACTTATTTGGTGTATTTTCTTTAAAATACATTTAACAGTTGTACTGACAGTATCCTTTTTCAGAGATGATTTCATTTTAGATGATTGAGTATTTGTATAGGGAAGGGGAGCAGATTGAAAGAAAAAGATTCTGGCATATTGATCTGAAGCCTGTGGTAAAGCTGCTTCTTTGCCTCGCCCATCTTGTTTGTCATGGTTGGTTTGTGCAGGGTCATAGAGAAAACCATCCTTCCTGAGGAATAAAATGCATATAGCTTGTAATTTTTTTATTTGGAGGAGGTTGGGAGGTGTTTCATTTGTATATAAGGAGATGAAATTAGCGTGGCCATTATATTCTAAAAGGAGCCTTGTAGAATATTATAGAATCATTTATGAGAACAGATTATTCAGTTTGATTCCTATGGCCCACATAAACAGCAAATTTTAAGATTACAGAGTTAATTATGCACAGTAATGAGCACTGTGATATTCCGTGCTTTACTGATGCTGTCATAGCACCCCAGCAGAATAAATATTACATAAAACCTTATTTTCTATTTATGCAAATTTTATGAGGATTAAATAGAAAATAAATTTAGATTTATAAACCTTTAGTATTTGAATGTCTTTGAAATTTTGATATAGAATAAGGATTGTAGCTGGATAGAGAATTTTTTAGATGCATGGAGAATTTTTACCTTTCATCTGGCAGTAGCTGCCATAAGATGATGTCACCTTGTAGCTGATTGGCTGTTACGGCACCTAGAGCAGGGAAGAGAAAGAAAAATGCCGGCACAAACCTCAGTGGTGGTTCTGTGGTTGTTTCTGTCTTTTTTTGATAGAATCTTTGATTAGTATCGAATTTACTGTATTTGGCCATGTGAACTATTGGGCGCATCCTAGGGTGAGGGAAATTAAGAGCTTTCAGAGGAATGAGGCGACTGATTTGCAAACGGATCTGTGATTGTAAGTTGCAGAGTCTGGGTATAAGGAATAAGGCAGGGCGTGCTGGAAGATGCACTATGGGAGGAGCTGGCAGAAAATGCTTGTATGAGTAGCAAAAAAAAAAAAAAAGAAGAAAAATGCTTTTTACTACCCTTAGGGTTAATATGTTTGGTTTTATGTTTTGGCTTAAAACATAGAGGTAGGAAATATGATAATATTGCATTTTGATTTTAAATTACAGAGGATTATTTTATATAATGTTAGCCAATATATAAATGCTTATTCAAAGGACCTTTATTTTATATATCTTATCAAAGTAAATGATTTTATATATGCCTTTCTTTGATTTTTGAGTCTTATAGAAAATGGAGCAAGGTTTAGTTCTCTTAAATACATTTTTCTAATGCATTGTGCAGATAAAAGCTTCGATGATGAAGAATCAGTGGATGGAAATAGGCCGTCATCAGCTGCTTCAGCCTTCAAGGTTCCTGCACCTAAAACATCCGGAAATCCTGTCAACAGTGCAAGGAAGCCTGGTTCAGCAGGTGGCCCTAAGGTTGGAGGTAATGTAAATCCATTTCAAATCCGATATGCATGCTCCATGCCCTTGATATGGCCACACGTACTTGGAACTTTAGAGAAATATGTTTATTCATGACTGCAGCATGATTGCAGATCTGGAGAGTCTGTTGCAACACTCAGAAGAATGCGCTGCATTTTTGACATGTTTATAATATTGTATATTGCTATTTCCTATAATCACATATGTGAATTAGTATTGAGGGTCAATTAGTCTTGTGAATTAGTCTTGAGGGTATTTATTTTTCAGATACCATTTTTAAAGGGAATTCGGGGTTTTTTGTTTGTTTTTTTGTTTTAAGGAGAGAACAGGTTTTTCAGAATTCGGCTATTAATTTTCAGGTGCAATAGCTGTTACAGAAATGTTGAATTATGTAATGTTTTTACACATTCTTTAGGTAGTAAGCCTTAAATACCCCAACATTTTAAAAATGATTGAAGATACTGGGTATTGAATCATTTGTCACAATAGGAAATGGGTGGTGGTCAAGAAAAATTGCCTCGAAAATGGTTTCTGGATTAGATAATAATAGGAAAACAGGAAAAAGCAGGTTTAATGCAGTTATACAACACACAGTATGCTCTTTGATCATATTAGAACTGTTTCTAGCGTATTTTTTGTCTTTAATTTTTTTAATGGATGCTTTTCGTATGCTAATTAGAAAGCCATGAGTACCTTTCAGGTGTTAGTTTCTGCTGGATCTTTCTGATAGATGAATCTGTAAGAAAAAGGGTAAATGTTTAATGCTAAAAGGACAGTGATCTCTTTCTCTTTTTATTTCTTTCCTTGTTTTAAATAGATTTGTGTTCTAGTTACGGTATTTTGGGGAAACATTTTTTTTCTTGTTTACTGGTGGGAAAATTGTGGTCTTGAGGATTTTTGTTTGTTCTTTTTGTCTGTAGCACTTACTAAAAACAAAAAAGGAAAAAAAAAATAAACTGCATATTTAGACCAGGTTCTGTAAGAAGTTGTAGTCCCTTGATCTTTCTGTACAACCCAAATTTTTTTCCCAAGTCATATGATATTCTAAATATGGGAAAACTATCATAAGTATTCCATTTTAACTATCTTATATGTTATATAACTAATAAGAAAGATGATATATATACCTCCACATGTACACACATATACATACATATATATTTCTATACATATAAATAACTCTGAAATAAAAATGTCTTTCTGGTTTCTCTGGATATTTTGAGTAACTTGCACTTTAGAATTTTAATTATTTTCTTTTTGTTTTGTAATTATAGGATTGTGTTCTCATCTAAATGTTAGTTATGATATCCTATTACATGACAGTTTCTATTATGCATTCTTACCTCTAGTAAAATGTATATGACATTCTGTGGTTTCTTCCTTTTATAAGAAATGGCTATTTTCAGTCATTATAGGGGAAATGTTTTTTGAATTATAGAATTCTAATCTATGATATTATAATTTCATGAAACTATCTTATTTGACTTAAAATGGATTAATGTTTGAGATAAATGATAATATTTAACATTTTTGTGAATCTGGACCAGCGGTTTATAATTGGCTCTGTTTTTTTCATGGTTTACTGTCTTCTTAGATGAAAAGTTGAGATTGTAATTTACCTATCACAAGTCACTTAATTCTGATATTAATTAATTTGATATAATCAGATATTCTTCGTTAAATAGGAGAGACTTTCTTAATGTCTCCACCCCCAGTCTATAGTTTGTAGTCCTACCAGGTACAAAAACATCAGGTAGCTTTCATGATTGTAGTCATTAATCACTTAGATTATATCATCCATCTAGGTAGCAGCCTTGTTGATAAAAATAAGAGAGCAGCCCTTCATTCCTTTTTCCTTTTTTCCTCCTTTTTTTTATTTTTAAAATATTTTTTGGCAATTGCAGATACATTCTTGTTTCTTTTGTTTGCTGCAGCTCATTTAGGTTCACTGTCCATTTTTCTATCTAAGAAAAGAGCTACTAGCCAGAGGATATTGATATTGCTTTTCAAATTAATGCCATTCTTGGCTGTTAGTCCTTTGAAAATTTAACTTTAGATTTTCTGGTCTTGGCAGAAACTTACTGATTCTAATTTAGCTGTAGAAAGTTTTCTTAGAGTTGTAAAATCTTTGGGTTTCTGTTTTCTGGACTATACATTCTCTTTCCCATAAGTTCATATGGAATGATGATGATTCAGTCTCAACATTTTGTTTGCTACTCCTAGGTATATAATAAATAGATAGATGGAATTAGTTCCTAATTAGAAGAATATGGTAGGTGGAGAGGTACAGTAGTGATATAAGCCAGTCACAGCCCCACTGGGTTTGACAAATCTCTTTTCAGGTAAGATTATCAAAATAACATGAGCTGCTTTGAAATCCTGACTGAATCTACTTTTGAAGTTTTGGAATATAATTTACTTCTCCTAGAGGTATATATCAAGATTAGAGATTTATGCTATTTTTAGCAAAGTATCCTAGCCAATTAATTAAAGCCCACAAATCTTTGTTTAATCTTCTGTGTATGTTTGTTTGCTTTGTTCTTTGGCCTCAGTATGCTAACCTATTCTTCTAATATTGTAATTGTAATAACCAAAAAAAAGTCTATGGCCAGGGCCATACCAATATATCATTTCTACAAAAACCCATATTATGCAGATGTCAAAAGTGTTATCTTTGTGCCATACTAATTAGAATAGAGATAAAGTAAATTCTCTTAAATAGTCTATTTTCTAGATAACATTTATAACTTCATATTAGGAATTTAGATAAACGTATTTTCCTTTATTTTGGCTTTTAATGATTTGAAATACAATTGCTAAAGGTAGCTGATTGTTTAAAATATTTATATCGTCATAGTATTTTAGGTAATAATTTTTTAAAAAAATTCTTGAGTGTTCTTACATATATTCTTTCCTTTAAATTTCAAAACCACTGAGTTGGATACTTTATTATCCTGATTTTACTGATGAGCAAACTGCAATTTGTGGAAGTTAAGTAACTTGCCCAGGGTCACCCATCTAATAAGTGGGCAAAGCACAAAAATCACTTTGCTATACTACCATCACATTAATCTCTATTGACAAATAAGGATTCTTCTAGATTCTGTAACTCTGAGATTATAATCTACAGTAATGATTACTACTTTTGGCACTTATAACTCAGTCATTTTAAAGCTCAACTACCTGTAGTATGATTCCCAGCAAATTAGAATATTTGGAAATAAGCAAACCCTAGTTTTTATATTGTAAATAGAAATGCTCTTTAGTATTTTCTTGTCAAAATTGCCTTCTTCAAGTTAATTTTCTGAGTTACAATATCCCTGTTCCTGTACCAATAGTTTTGTCTATTCTTTTTAAAAAATAGTAGTTGTATTAGATGATAATATAATTGTCAATGTTTATAATTAATACCAGGTTTTGAGGTTAGTGACTTGTCATTGAGGTTTGTTATATAATCACTGAGACATGTCATTGACCAAATCATCAATTCTAAGTTCTCTCGTTCTCTCTCACTGATTCATTCAAGTGGACAGGGTATTTTCTCTATATTGTTTCCGTCTAATGTCAAAGATTACTTTGAAATAGTTTTTACTTTCTATTCTTATAATTAGTGAATCACTACAGTTTTAATTCAGTAGCACTTCTCATCTTTAGGGTATTTTATGTTTGTTTTACTTCATTTATGTTTGACCTGAGATTTTGTTAAGAATGTCTAAATATCTGTTTTCTACAAATAATGCTAATCATTCCCATTTTTCCCATCATGCAAACAAAATTGTCTTTTCTTTTAAACAAATAAAGATCATAAGAATCAGTATATATCTAATATAATAAATCTTAAAAATTTTTTTTTAATTCTGGAATCCAAATTTTTTGACTAGTAGAACTCAATTTTTTATTTTTGAACTTTATATAAAAACAAATAACATTTCTGTTTGTGCGTTTTGGTTTTGTTTGTCTTCTTCCCTTACTAACAGGGAGAGATACTAAACGAGAAGATTTTAGCCCTGAAGTGGTCTTAAAGATGATCTGACCAGATTCAGGTGAAGAGACTGAGTCTCAGAGAGCTGAATGATACGCCCCGTAGCAGATAGTTAGTTATTAGCAGGGATGAGACAGAAACCTAGTGCGTGGCCCACTATCAAGGGCTTCCTCTTGGTTGATCTCTGGGTCACCTCCTAAGTAATAGTGCATGTGCTACACATTTCTTATTTTTTATCCCATATAGCAGAACACTATTATTGAAATTTGGAATTTAGGTGTTGACCAGCCGCCAGTCTGTCTTAAATTACTGTGAATCCCAGATCACTGACCATCCATTATAAGATGCCCTGATACTATCTATCTTAACTTTGGTTTTAAGGTAAATATGATTTGAGTAAATAACATATAAATTATTATAAATATAAATCAGTAAGCTCCCTTATTCCTTTCTATGTATAAGAATATATGTGTTGTACTGTAATTATTTTCTGTCCTCAGTTTTGTTTTACTTCCTGTGCAAGACTTGAAGTGACAAAAAATTTCATTGTGCAAGGTTTATTTTTGAGGTATTCAGAATGTTAATATAAATAAACAATTTTGATTGAAATAGAATAGGTAAACTGAAGACCCAGTCTCTTCACAGAGAAGTTATTGTTCTTATCTACACTTGTATATAGCACTTACTATATGCAGTGCTGGTAATGAGGCACCAAGAGGGCCATATGAAATGTTTAATTCATCATTTTAAACTTACAAAGATAATTACAGTACCTGCCCATTATTCCACCAACCAGTGTTACTGTTTGCATTTCAGTCCTCCCAGACTTCATTTGCCTGTATTTTTTGACTGAAATTTAAGTGTTAGAAAATTGTAAAGCCTCATTATAGGAACACAAATTGATTCAAGGTTTGCCTCACAAAAGAGTGAAATATCATTAATAAAGATCTCGCATATGAGGAATTTTCCATTAGACTCATGATTGTACTTGATTGATACAAAGTAGAAGTTATAATAAC